AAAAGGGGGGTTTCAGGTCCCCTTGGTCACCCCAGGGGGGTGACAGCGGGGAGGGGATGGGGACAGGGCGGTGGGACCGGTGGCCGAGGAGCCTGAGACCTGGCGCTCTCGTTTCCCAGATGAGCGGCAGGGACGGGAACAGGGTTGGGGACAGCAAGGGAGTGGGGGGGCAACGGGGACACCCCCCACGCCCCGGGCGCACCCCAGGAGTCTGGGGGACCTCCAGGGTCAGGGTGACCGCTCAAGGGGTGGCATCAGGGTGCTGTGCCGGGACTTTCGGCTCCATCCGCTCGCTGCAGCCTGACGCTCCGCCAAGATCCGCGAGAAGATGGTGCTGAAGGAGCTCTGGAAGCTGGCGATGGACGCGGTGGGGAAGACGTGTCCTGCCTCTGCTGACTGACTGGATGGTGAATGATGGGGAGGGGGACCAGCGGCAGGGACCCTGGAGCCGAGAGGTGGCTGGCTGGGGACAGCGTGGGACATTGCTGGCCAGGTGGGGGGACTTCGGTGACGTCCCCCAACCTGCCCCCAGCTCATGGCCGGGGAAGGGATAGAAAGCTCATGCTTGACCCGGGTGCCCAGCACAGCCCAGCACCCTCTTGGCTGGCCTTGGCAAAGGACCTTCCTGTCACTCCATGTGGCACGGAGAGAGGACACCACTGGTCCCTTCCTCTCGATCCTCGCCCCTGAGCGGGGGCAGCAGCCCATGCTGTGCTCATCAGCACCAGCTGTGGGCACAGCCCCCGTGCCAGGGGGTGACTCGGGAGGAAATCAGAGCGTGGGGAGCCACCGCGCGTCGTCCTTGCTGCGGGGCTGGGGTTGTCTGGGGAGCAGGGACTGGCTCTGTGGGGATGGGGGGCACATCCCAGCAGCAGGGCGGAACTCCTCCTTGCTCGTGGGCTGAACGGGCTCTGGGGAAGCGGAGCAGCGCCCAGGGAATGGTCCCTCCTCGTGTCTCCAGGCTCCGTATGGCATCGCTGTGTGTCTGTCCTCCCCACACGTAGCCGTGCGGCCTGAGGCTTCCCGGGGCAGCTGCTCCCTCAGGGTCAAGTGGGGAAGGGTGACACCAAGGGCTCTGAGCCAGCCACACGTCTGTCACTGTCCCTCTCGGTGGCTTTTGTCGCTGTCACACAGCTGGGCTTGGGCTCTTAACTTGGAGTCCCTGGAGCCACCGGCCGCTGTGTCACCTTTTTGGGGCTGTGGGGCTCCTGGGGCTGTAAGGGACAGTGCGTTGGTGACCTGTCAGCTCTCAGTGGTGCCACCTCACGGGCAGCTTGTCATAGCCCAGAGCCCGGCTCAGGTCAAGCCCTGCATCGCTCCTGGCCAAGCTTGCCCACCCTTGGCCAGAGATGGCCAAATCCAGCAGGAACACTGGTGCCCCTGGCCCCGGCTGCCATCCCAGTCCCTCTGTCCCTTCACGCCGTGCGTGGCTATGCCGTGTTCTGGAGGCCGTGAGCCCGGTGCTGGGGGCAGAGGTGACGCGGCCACGTGGGTCTGCGGGGCGGTTTTCCTGAGGGGAGGCAGCCCTCGGAGGGGCCGTGCTGCGGCCAGTCCCTATGGCAGGGGACAGCCTGCCCAGGGTGGCTGGTGGGCTGGTGGCCCAGGGCTACGTGTCAGAGCCGGGTGTCAAGTGGGGTCCACCAGCCCCCTGGAGCCGAGTCCCCTCGGGGCAGAGCCCCCCGCCACGGTGAGGAAGGGCTGGGCAGGCTGGGATGGGGCCACTTGGGGGCTGTGGGGACCTGCGGTGCCGGTGGCAGGGCATCGATGCCAAGTGCTGTGACACGTCAGGCGGGGACACCCCTGGCTCTGCTGTCCCTCCTGTCTGGTGGGGCGGGGGGAGCCGCGGGGCAGCTGGGGCTGGGAGGACAGAGGCGGCGGCCGACACTCATGTCACGGTTGCTCTCTGCAGTCGCTCTGTACGGCAGCTCCCTGTCTGTCTGTCTGTCTGGGCGCTGTGCGTCGGTCCTGGCCTCGCTGGTTTTTCTCTTGTGTGGCTGCCCGGGTCCTGCCCACGCCCTCCTCTGGCTCCCGACTTGGCCCACCTCTGTGGTCCCCATCCTCGTGCTGCCCGCTTGGCACTTGCTCCTGGCGGGCACTTGCCCGCGGCCCCAGCTGGGTTCAGGGGCTGGAAAGGTCCCGGGCAGATTCGCGGTGCCGGGGTGTGGGGAGGGACAAGTGTCGGGGATGGAGCGGGAGGGGACGCGCTGGGGCAGCGCCATGTAACCAGGGCCAGCCAAAGCCCGGCTGGTCCCATCGCCCTTCTCTGGCTGAGGGATGAGAGAGGCCGCTGGAGGCAGGAGCAGGGGCAGCGGTGCGTGCCCGGCACTCAGGGCTGCTCTTCTCTGGGCCCTCGTGCCTCAGTTTCCCCTGGAGGCCCTGGCTGGGGTGCAGCTGTGGCGGGGGCTGAGGGCAGAGACTTTCTCTGCCTGTGGAGAGCAGCATCTCGCTGGGGCCTGACAGTGCCTGGCCCGGCTGCTCAGCGGTGGGGCAGGTTGCTGCTACGAGTTGTGAGAGTTTTTCCCTGGCGGGGGTACAGCCCTCGGAGCCCGGGCTCTGGGTCCCATCTCGGCAGTGCTGCGGGGGCCCTGCCTGCCTTCGGCGGAGCAGTCACTGCTTGTCCTCTTCTGCCCAGTCGGTGGCCGTGGGCTTCTGCCCCACGGGGCCAGGGAAGGGCCACAGCCACCCCCAGCCCTCCCCTCCCCTTGCTTTGACCGCAGGCACCTTCACGAGGAGGAGCCGTGGTGCGGGTGCCGGTGGCGGGGGGCTGGGTGCCAATCCCTGTGGGGACAAACGCCCGTCTCGTGTCCCCCAAACCCTTTTGTTTCCAGCAGCAGCATTTGGAGAGGCCCTGGGGGCAGCCTGGGGCTGAGCCTCCCTCAGACCTCACGGGGACCCCGAGTCCCAGCCTTGCTGGGGGGCCGAGGTGGTGTCAGCTCTATGGGGTTCAAAGGCCTCTTGTTCACCCATCACCCCGTGCCTCAGTTTCCCTCCAGAACAAGAAACCCTTCTGGTGCCCCTGCTTGGCCCCAACTCTGCTGCTTGTCCCTCACACAGGCTTCCCCACCAGCAGAACCCCCTGCTACCCCCTCCTGATGCAGATGTGCCTCAGTGCCCCCCAGGAGGCTGGTTAGGACCCCCCCATGGCACTGCTACCCCATTTCACACTGTTTCTCTTGCCGTTGCTGGGCCTGGGTCAGTGTGGGGTTGTCGCTGGCCCAGCACCGCATGGGCCGGGACTCTGCATCCCAAACCCAAGTACAACTGCCCGCTCCCCGCTCCCTTCCCACTGCTGTGAGTGTCGGCCAGAGCTGGAGGGGAATGTGGGGGCACCAGAGGATGCTAGTGGGGACCAGTTCCCCCTGGGTTCAGCACCCCTTCATCCCAGCAGGGATCAGCCAGCCATAAGCCCAGCATCCCAGCGTGGGGACCAGTTCCCCATCAGTGCAGCATCCTGCATCGTAGTGGGGACCAGTTGGCCCGGCATCCCGGAGACACCAGTCCCTCACTGATCCAGCATCCCTCTGGGACCAGTCTGACCCCATGGGCCCAGCACCCCAGCAGGGACCACCCCCCCATGGGCCCGGGCTGTCCTGTAGGAGCTCAGCCAAGTCTTTGCCACCAGGTTGCGGCCACCCCAGGTGCCCAGCCCTGCCCTGCCCTCTCATGTCCTGTCCCGCGCTGTCCCCACCCCACGGCTCAGCCGCTGACGTTGCTTCTACAGGGAACGCTCTTGAGAAAACGTGGCAAGGGGACAGAGAAGGTCAGTAGCCGTGGGCTCCGTGTGTGTCATCGCCCCAGGTGTGTGTTACCCATCCCCAGGCAGGCATGGGGGATGCTGCCCCAAGGTGCTCAGCACCCATCCAGGTGCCTGGCTGGGACAGCGTGGGGCTGGGGTGCCCAGGCATGGGAGATCCTGGGCACAAACCTGTCTCGCCTCTGGGGGCTCAAGAAGAGGTGACCCCCAGGATGCTGGGCTGTGCTGGGGATGTGCAGGGCACACTGGGGGCCCCAGGGCTGCTGAGATCCCCTGGACCTCTGAGCCTGCTTTCCCCTGATGCTTGGGGGCCTCAGCAAGGTGTTCTGAGCCCCAAAACTTGCCCAAAAGGCACGTGGGCTCTCCCGCTCTCTGGGTGCTCCCCACCCCTCCAGGCTGCCTGCTCCCAGAGCCTGGCTTCAGGAAGAGCCACGCTGGCACTGTCGGGGCAATGCTGCGGCTGCCCCCTGCTCTCCCAGGGGACGCTGGGTCCTGCCCCAGTTTGCTAAGCGTTCTGGGAGGGCTGCTTTCATCCCCCCGCTGCTATTTCCTCAGCCCCAAGCGAGGTGGGGAGTAAGCCTGCCCCCACTTAGGAAGAGACCCGACGTGCTCACCACAGGTTCACCAGCAAGCTCATTGGGCTGAGCCTTTGCCGGTGTGAACTGGTGCTGATCCAGCAGCACCAGTGGAGAACTGGGCACAGCCGGAGAGAGTACAGGGCCAGAGCCTACACAGCCAGGGGATGTGGGGGCCCTGGACTCACAGCTGGCTTCTGCTGGGGCCACCAGTAACCGTCCCCTTGCTGTGCTCTTCCAGAGCGGGGCGAAGCTGCCCAGTCACACTGAAGTGAGGACATGGCTCTTCTGCTCCCCGCTTGGCGCTGGTCCCTCCTCTCACCTCCTTCCTGTCCCTTGTCCCGTTGGAGGGGTCTCAGCTCAGGAACTGTTGTCCTGTTGTGCGTTTGGGTGACACCAGTGTCCCCAGCTCCCGGTCTGTTCACTGGCTGGGGGAGATGGGGAGAGCAAGGGAAGGAGTAACGGGACAGAACTTGGGGGGAGCCCATAAAGGGTTAATGGGGGGTTACAAAATGAGGGCATGGGTGGGCCAGACCCCTGCAGAAGGTAAAGGTTAGTGAGAGAGTTGCTGGGGTTTCTCACTGTTGGGAAGGACTGGAGCCACTGGTGCAGGGAGGCTGAAGGAGGTGGGAATTGCCGGCTCTTCCCCACTGGGCCCCAGTTTCACCCAGTTGGACGTTGCACACAGAAGGGAAGCTTGAGCTCAGCCTGGTAGGTGGTTGCCAGACCAGGGAGGTGCGTGGGACCTGCCTGTGCCTTGGGGCCACTGGCACGGCTCAGGGCAGGCGAGGGCGGCCAGGGGCTCCCATCCACGGGGTTCCCTGGGGTGCAGAGGGGCTGGGACCCTCCCTGGGGCTGGGACTGGGCAGGGGCCGGCGGGGCAGGGGGTGTTTGGCTGGGCCGCCACCACCGTGGGGTGCGGAGGGACCGTGCCGCACCCTGCCCGTGCCCGCTGTGCCCCTGCGCTGGCTCTCTGCTCCCACGCCCCATGTCCTGTGACTGTCCGTGCGGTGCCAGGGCCGTGCGGGCTGGGCTCTGCTGGATGCAGAAGCGGGTGCTTGGACACCACAGGGAGCAGGATGGGACCCTTGGGCCAAGCTGCTCGTGCTGAGCAGGGTGTGAGGTCCCTGATGCCAGGGTGATGTCCTGCCCTGGGGGGCCAAGCCCCTTTGCTCAGGGGCTGGGACAGGGGCTGCCAGCCCCGTGCCACCACGGCATGGCCGCTGGCCCTGGGCTCTCTGAGGAGCACCCCTCGGGCCCTGGGGAGCTGGGGGAGCCCCCGGAGCTGCAGCAAGCGCCTGGCACCATGTGCCCAGCCCGGCCGTGGCACCCCCAGCCCGGCTGCTCACCGGGGTCATCCCTGTCTGCTCTCTGCAGGGCTGGCAGATGATTTTCAAGGCAGGCAAGGAGCTGGGGCTGGGCTGGGGGGGGCCGGGCACTCTGAGCTCCTCCCTGTGCCAGGGCGGGTGACACTTTGCAGGCTGGCACTGTCGCAGGGACCCCAGCAGTGCTTGTTTGATGACGCGGCTGGAGCGAGGGGCCCGGGTCCTGTGCTGAGAGCAGGATTTGTGCCTTGCAGGACCACATGGTGCGGGGGGAAGGCAGGAGCCTGACCCCACAGCCATGTGCAGTGGTGGAGCTGGCACTGGACAGCAGCAAGGTGAGGGTACTCTGGGGTGCCAAGGGGTGTCCCTGAGGGCTCTGGCCCTGAGGCACAGACCTGGGGGAGCATCGCGGGGGCTCCAGCAGAGCTGCTGAGGTCCCTGCAGCTGCCTTCCCCCCCCCTCCAGCAACACTTCCATGCTGGTGGTGTGGGACTGAAGAAGACGTTCCTGGAGAAGAGCCCTGACCTGCAGGCGCTGCGCTGCGCCCTGTCCCTCTACACCCAGGCCGCTGACCTCCTCCTCCAAACCTTAGTGCAGACCCAGGCTTGGCAGGGCAGGATGCACTGCCCTGACCCCCCACCCGGGCCCCCCACCCGCGCTTGGCTGTCCCACGGTCAGGGCCCCATCCTGCCTCCATCCTGCTGGGGTTGGGGGTCCCAGCCAGGCTTGCAGAGGGGTGGGAGGGATGGGTGGGGAGGGAAGGGCTTTTTCCTCCCATGGTTTGCAGGTGAAGAGCAGCCGTGGGGGCCCAGAGGCAGCCTGGCACCCCCAAGTCCCCCAGCAGCAGGAAAAGCATTTCCCCAGTGCCAGGGCATAGCTGGGGCCTATGGGTGGGGGAGAAGGCCACCCTCTGGCCACGCATCACAGGGTTTGTCCTCTCTGGATGGCCCCTGCTGCCCAGCACAGCCACCTCTGCTCCGACCGTGCCTTAGAGCTGCCAGTCTTGGCCGAGTGGTGCCAGCCCAGCCAGGGCTCCGACCTCGTGCAGCCGTGGCTGGATGCGGGTGCTGTGCCAGGGCCTGTCCTGGCATGGTGGGTGCCCCACGTACCCCATGGTTTGGGATCTGTCCAGGATGCCGGGTGCCTCTCAGGTGCTGCCCCCATCCCAGAGCCATGCGGCGCAGGGTGCCAGGCACCTTCTGGGGCAGGGCTACCTCTCGGATCTAAACGCTGATCTTTATTTTGTCCCTTGGCTGCTCGAGGAGGGGACAGAGATGTTCAGCGGTGGTCATGGGTCATCACAGAGAGCCCCAGCTGGGCTTGGCTGCGTCCTCGGGGAGTGGGACGTGCGTTTGCTGTCTGTGCGTCTCCTGCAAGGGACGTCTGTCCTGTCCGTGCCTCCCGTGCCAGCCATGCTGGGGCTGCGGCATTGGGTCTGGGGGTGCCAGCACCCCTGGGTGCAGTCCGGCCCCAGGACCTGCTGGGTTCAGAGCTGGGTGGTGCCCAGCACTCCCATGTCACTGCAGTGTTGTCCAGGTGCTCAGCTCTCCATCTCTCTGTGAGATCTGATCCCTCTTTCTCTCTTTTTGTTTTCTCCCCCTTCTGTCATTGTTCCCGTCCCCCCCCACACATCGTCTTCTATCTCCTCTTTGTCTGCTCTGTGATATGTCTCGGTCTCTTTCACTCTCCTGCACACTGGTTCTGTGACAGAGTCACAGAATCACAGAATCAGCTCGGTTGGAAAGGACCCTGCAGATCACCCAGTCCAACCGTTCACCCAGCGCTGACAGTTCCCACCTACAGCAGATCCTCGAGCGCTAAATCGACCCGACTCTTCAACCCCTCCAGGGATCCCGGGGACTCCACCACCTCCCTGGGCAGCCCATCCCAACGCCCAACAACCTGTTCCGTGAAGAAATCCTTCCTGACACCTAGTCTAAACTTTTCCTGGCACAACGTGAGGCCATTCCTTCTTGTCCTGGCACCTACTACTAGGCTAAAGAGGCTCAGACCCAGCTCTCTGCACCCTCCTTTCAGGGAGTTGTAGACGGTGATAAGGTCTCCCCTCAGCCTCCTCTTCTCCAGACTAAACCCCCCCAGTTCCCTCAGACCTGTGCTCCAGACCCTGCCCCAGCTCCGTTGCCCTTCTCTGGCCACGCTCGAGTCACTCAATGGCCTTTTTGGGGTGAGGGGCCCAAAACTGAACCCAGAAATCGAGGGGCGGCCTCCCCAGTGCCGAGCCCAGGGCTCAGATCCCGTCCCTGTCCCGCTGGCCACGCCAGGGCTGACACCAGCCAGGATGCCGTTGCCCTTCTTGGCCCCCTGGGCACACTCTGGCTCATTCTCACCCCCCCAGTCCCTCTCTGACCGGCAGCTCTCCAGCCGCCCCTCCCCAGGCCTGTCGCCCCCCTGGGGGCTGTTGTGGCCCAAGGGCAGCCCCCGGCATTTGCCCTCAGTGAAACTCCCCCAGTTGGGCTCAGCCCATGGCTCCAGCCTGGGCAGGTCTCTCTGCAGAGCCCCCCCACCCTCGAGAGACCAACACCCCCACCCGGCTGGGTGTCACCTGCAAACTGACCGCGGGGGCACTCGAGCCCCCCGTCCGGCTCAGCAGTGAAGGTGTTAAACAGGAGCGGCCCCAACACCCAGCCCTGGGGGACACCTCTCGTGCTAACCTGGAGTGAACTCCCTTCCCCACAGTTCTTCGGGCCCGGCCAGCCCAGTTTTACCCAGCAAAGCGTGTGCCCACCCAAGCCACGAGCAGCCAGTTTTGCCAGGAGAATGCTGTGGGGCCTTACTGAAGTATTTTACTTCGTATTTCTTGTACAATTTGTCCATGTGAGAATCTTTTGCTATGGTCATTCGTTACAGGTTATCCGTATTTTTGAGGTTTAGGTGGACTGTCTGTGTAAATATCAAATACTTAATTATGTGGTGGTGTTTTCTTTTTTTTTTTTTGTATCAGCCAAAGGTAAATCTGAGAAGAAATTTGCCCTAGCATTTGGGAAGCTCATGAGATACGATGGAACAACTTTGAGAGGTGGAGAACATGACCTTATAGTTTACAAGGTAGAATTTCGACATACTTCAGTCTTTCTATAGGAGCTGCCTCAGCTGACCGACTTTTAGCGAATTACTGTTACAGAATTGCACAGAAAAATGTTTTATAGACTGTTCTATTAGATCAAACAACTAACTAGCAAGTACTGTGCAACTTCCATGTTGGGCAGGTTGACCGTTAAACCTTTGACCGTTAATCAGGGCCCCCACAAAAAGCAGGTGCTCAGCCCCAAGGTTCAGCTCCCCCCCCCCGCCCTCTTTGGGGAGGGGGTTAGCGTTGGGGCCGTTGGCTCTGGAAGGGCATTAAGCTCGCTCTGGTGTCACCCCCCGGCCCAGCTGGATTTGGGGGGGTCAGGGCTGATGTATCCAAACTTCTGGATATAAATAAGCTCTATGAAGACCTCCCTGATGAAGAAAAGGAGCGGTGGATCCGGCTTGGAGCCCAGCCCCAAGGAGAACAATGGATGCTCAATAACAAGCTGCTTCTCCCCAAAAGGTATTTATTACCGAATACGCGATGGCAGCACAAAAAAACTCATGGGGGGCCGGAGAGCTTAGTGCTCCGCAATCAACGACTGCCCTGGGAATTTATGCAGCAGCCAAAAGAATCTGTGAAGGATGTAAACTTTGTAAACGATATGCTACTGTACGAATTCAGGCTCCCAGTGGAAAAAGACCTCCCGCCACCTTTCCTGAAAGGAAATTCCACTGAAATGCCAAAACCAAAATTGGGGTACTTTGACATGTTAGTGAGAACCGATCAGCTAACAGGCTGGGGAAAAGCCTGTCCTACCAGGAAAAGGTACGTCTTCTCCTCGCTGGATCCGCTGGTGCCGGGGCGCGTCCGCCTGGCGTCTAACTCCGGCCAGGAAGCCCCGGGCGAGCACTGTGACTGTGTGGGATGGTGCCGCTGCTCAAGACGATGCTCGCGTGGGACTCGCAGGAGAGGATCACGCCCAGCGCCGCCCTCCAGCCTCCCTTCGTCTCCCTGCAGCAGGTGAAGTCCCGCTTTGAGGCCACCCGGTATTGCCAGCTCTGCCACAAGGAAGAACCTGCCTGGCAGAGCGAACACCTCGTCCCACGCCGAGGTACAGCCGTGGGGGGGCTCCTGGGCGTGGGTGCTCAGGGACACCGGGTGCTTGGTGGCTTTGTGTCTCCCCGGTGCTTTGGGGCCCTGGATGCGCAAGGTCCCTGCTGCCACCATAACATGGGTGCTGGTCGGTCCCTGGTGCCCGATGTCAGGAGTGCCCAGAACCCCTGGGTGCTCAGGGTCCACGG